CATCGAAAGAGAAGGTGATTCGGAAGTGCCTCCATACGAAGAGGGGTACAATGTCGCGGACTATCTTCTTGAAGTTGCAAGCGCTACCTCAGGTGGCTCGATCCCAGTTGCCGCAAAGAGCAATGCTGAGGAACATACAGCCACGGTAAAACGCAGTTCTGATGAAAAAGCTGATGGTGCCGATGTGGAAGCTATGGTCGCTCGCGCCCGGAGCACCACAGGAGGATATACGGCAACATTCCTCACTCAGTTCCAAGTACTATGTGGGCGTGAATGGAAGCTATTGCGTCGGTGGGTTACACTTTGTTCCTCCTACCTGAGTGACTTACAAAGGGTTGACTTAGGGACAAGTCACTGTTCTTCACTCATTTGGTTGTCTCTACCATTTTAGGGGCTTTCTGCGGTGCGTTGACCGAGAATATTCTGTAGTACCTGTATTGACATCGTTGTATCAGGTGGACTGTACTTCCACACTGGATTGAGTATTGCTGGGTTCCAGTCTCGTGTAGGATGTTTGTTCTTCTTGGTTTGTCATTTTTACTTGTCTTGATCGATGACAATGTGCTGATCTAGACCCGTAGGGTTCGCTCATCGCCTTCTCATCTCTGAGTGCCTTGTACAACGTTGTCGAAATACGACCGCTCTTTGTTCGCGAGCGATCCAACTCCTATTACAGGTTTGTCTCGTCATTATTTTCTTCGCTGACAAAAACTGATGTCTGCTCGCCAGTCCTACTGCTTGGCTTTTGTCTCGTTTCTTCTTTGATGTCATCCCACTCCGCATTCTTCCGACAATCATTGTGTCCACGATGTCTGTTGATTCGCCCTGACGAGCCTCAACTCCGAGTACTGACACATTTATTCTTAGAACCTATTGGATGGCTGGGCTCGCTCATGACGCACCTCACTTTTTCAAATTCTTGTTCATCCTAGTCCTGTACACGCTTGTCATGACACTTTTCGTGCGTCTCCTTCTTGTAGGCAGGTGTTTAGCCTCTCACTTGTCAATCCGCAGAACTTCCTGCTCGCGACGCTCTTCCGCAACGGGGGTATTGCGATCCTTGTCTCGGCTCTCCTGGCCTTATATCAAATGACTTTTGCTGGATTCTTTGTGCACTTGACATCCATTCCACCAGCACTACGATGGTTGCAATGGTTGTGTCCTCTGAAGGTACGATCAGCTGCAAGCAAGAGCCTCGTTTATTCATACCCATCCTAGTATACCCTCGAAGCACTCTCTGTAAACGAGGTAGGTTCAGGGCTCATGATTGTAGACGAATTGCAAGGCGTCCCGATCGATATTTCTGCGGTGTTGATCATGGAGCTGGTATGTGTCTCATTCTCGATGACAGTTACTGCAGGATTGCTCAACCGCCGACCAGCTTTTTGGTTTTAATCCCAGCAGTTACTATAGAGACGTACTGGTTCTATTTGCTTTCGTTGCCGGCTTTGGTATCGTCTTGATTGGTGTGGTATGGTGGAAGCTCAAGGAGAAGCGGTGAAGAATGTTGGGCTGGGACGTGAATCTGACTTTTTGAATCAGTATACCCTATAGTTACGGACGAGTTTCCGTCATTCATGTTGATACATCTTGTCGTGACATTTCGTATTCTTAAGGGCATTGTATGGTACACTTCAGATGTGTTTAAGTATGCATTCGTGTGGCGGACGATGTGTCTAGTGCTGGACTAGGCAAATGGTAAACCTGGGGACGTTTTGAAGGTTTTCCGGAGGATTTGCTTGAAGTCGAGCGTCTCAACGCTAGGTCTACGCCCTGGGACGACTTCACATGTGCGCTGATTAGCTCGCTGTAACCCGAACGAGAGCTGCTCGCGCACGGATGCCAGCTTGAGTGCCATATCGAGACCCATGTGCCGACCCTCTTCGAGACTGATCGGGTTCTGCCGTCGCACGATCTCATTCATGGCAGGCAAGGACCAAGACTCAAAGTCCAGGTTATAAGTCTGGCCGAGGACGACCCTGTCTACCGGTGACATTTTCTCTTTGAGTGGATCGATCGCGGCCTGGCGGACGGCGTCGAACCCCCAGAGGGTCGCGAGTCTGAGGACGGTTGTCCATTGGTCGTTGGTTTCTGGCCACGATCTCTGGGACGTGCCATGGGTCCTGTTGGTTTTGATAGGGAAAGCGTTCCGTCATTGGATTGCTCGTCAACGATGGGGGTCGAATGGATGGTCGTCGTGAACTTACCTATGGAAAAGGACGCCCAGGAGCTGCTCGAACTCGTCCTTTTGTATCCCCTCAAGGTAAATGGGGTTGTCGTCGCTCGTCCCTTCTTCTCTGTGGAGGTCTCCTGTGGGTAGAAGGAACATGTCCCGGAATACGGTGGACTCCAGTTCAAACGGATCTCGAGGGACCTTGAACAGAGAGTCCTCTACCTATTTTTTTTCGTCAACTTCGATGACAAGGAGGGTTGGGTGAGGAAAGGACCGTACGCGAAACGTGACGGTGTCAGTGTAGAAGTACGCGTGCCTTGACACGTCACTCATGGCTCCAATGACGATGTAATAACGAATTGGGTAGATGAGTAGTGGATCTCCTGAATCAGAGGCTCGCCAGGCAGGCGACTCGGATAATCACTGATCAGATCTTGGTTTTGAGCTCAGACTAAAACCTGATGGCCCTGCGCCATATACGGACTCCCCAGGCAACTCGGAGTGGCCGTCGAAAAATGGTGATATCCTCTGGGTGGTGTGCGCTTGGTAGAGAGCATCCGAGAAATGGACTTTCCGGGAGTCTGCGCGGGGTGGGGCTGGAGGATGTCGACTTTGAGGAGGCTGAGACAGCGAATGAAACGTGTGATCAGAACAAGCGGCATGGATGGGACTGTAATGCAGTGAGGAGAGATCCAAGGTCTATCGAGGGTTGAACATTGTGTGAGATCGACAATAAGCGACGCCTTCAGAAGGTTCGAGGTGCCCCCTGACTCAGGCACAGATCGTTGTCAATGACGGCGACACCAACGCTGGCGCTAGGCCCGACTGCAGCGCCACTGCACGTGCATCATAGTAACATTTGTCGGAAAAAGAAACCGAGTGTTAGCTTCAAACCCAGTACCAGCGCCACCATCTCATCAGTAATGCTTCAAGTTGAACTCTGACCATGAACCGGACGCCGTGGATGTCGAGTCAGTGCTTAATACTACGTTGGTGCCGCATCACCATGAAGTCGCCTGTGTCGGCGCTCCGAAGCACCGCACTGCTGTGACTAAAGTGTGTCGTTGATGACGGTCGGCATAGGCCTTCACCGAAACTTACTTCGTTCATCCAATGGTATTGTGCAAAAGTACAGTGTGGATAGCCGGGTCTCTCAGGCTCTCGGGCTCGGACTACTTTGCGTTCCAACTTATAGTGCCACAAATCCGGTTCGATGATGGAAACATCATTCAAGAACTTCTCCTCTGGCCAACCTCAGGGCATAGTAGACGCTGACCACACATTCCATAATGACGTCCCCTTCGGGCATCAGACTTGACTTTGCTACGCTTCTTTCTACTTCAATAGAGTGTGTCCTTTATGGTGACTCTAGATCATCTGTTTTTTCCTCGTAAGGCTGACAACTTGATGATCCCATAGGTATTTCATTAGTATTGTTCGGTGGGACCGTGTGGGCACTAACCCACGGGCGTTCCAAGGATGAAATTAACTGGTCAGTGGCGCTGGTCGCCTTAATTTTGACGATTCTCAGCACAATTGTAGGTCTTTGTTCACGCTCGATCCACTAGATTAACGTCATTCTACTACCAAGCACGTGGCGGTTGATATCCAACGACTAGTAGTTGGCTTCATCACCAAAGCCAATTTCTTTCCAGGGGGTCCGACAGGTTTCTTTGCCGATGTGACACAACGAACGTTCATCATCAAGCACACTGTCTATGTTCTGCAAACGCTGCTTGGCGATGGGGTTGTGGTGAGCTTCTTGCGATTACCGGTTCCCTCAGACTCATGGTGCTTGAAAACAGATATATCGTTGTTATGTTGTTTGGCAACGCTTTGGGGTCATTATGCTGCCTGCGGTGCTGTGGTGTGCCACTTCTGGTGCGTTGGTAATACATCGGGGTGAGCCTAACTCACCCGGGTCGTCACCAGCAACTTCCGCAGCGTTACTCTACCACATATCGTATGCAACACACTCAGAAGACGTTTTTCTGTCAGACATTGGAAAATGGGTCGTTCTTTTCTATTTGTTGACAATGACAACGAATGTACTCAGTTCGGGTGAGCTGATTAGATCTGTTTAGTTGCCCATTGGCGTGACTCTGTATGGTCCCAATAGCTCTATTGGCCTATCGTATCTGGACTACCAATCGGGATGAACCGGGGGTGGTCCGGGTGCTTTCTCGGTCCGGGGTCGATGCCACCCTGCTGCTCCGCGTTCTCGTAGACGGAGCGGTCCTATATACATTCACGCTTTTTACTCTTCTCGCGTGCTACGCTTACCAAAACACAGGGCAGTTCATCGTGTTGGACATGGTTCGTCTTCCCATTTTCAGTGCTCAACTCCCATCACCTTGCTAATGTGATTCCTAGGTGACGCCCATAATATCTATCACGTTCTACACGGTGCTCGTTCGTATTGCCATCGCGAGGAATGACTCTGCTCGTGTTGCGACAGCCTCGTTGTCGCCCCTTCGCTTTGCTGTGAGAGTAGCACCAAGTCTGTCGGAGCCCAGGTTGAGCGGTGCTCGCCGATCCAGTTTCTAAAGCACGAGTATCGAAATAGAACTACAATGCATGGGAACGATCACGCATGATGGATCAATTATCTTGGTCCTGAAGAGTGGACTGGCTCGATCAATGATGGTCTGAACGTGAAGTGTGCAGGGCATGGTGCTACCGATGATGATACTACTGTTACCATCTGTTTGACGATGCTGTGAACATTTCGGCGGGTGGGGTCATCGATCATCACCAGAGCACTATTTGAATTCAAGACTACTGAGGACACCAACCGATAGGATGTGCCCCTTCCCCATGCCATATCGGCTGCCTGGCGAAATGGCATCGCGTCTGACTACGATACTACGTAATCAGGAGATTGCAGGTTCGACCCCTGCGGCGGTCATTCGTTTTTGCTTTTTTTCGGATTCGCGACAACAGCATGTAGCATTATCTAGTACCTCCACCTTCGATCCGACTCGATTACAATGAACCTTGAAGGACACAATTCCGGCATCAGTTCCCATCCACATGGTAACATTCATAATAATGCATTCTTAGAAGACGATTCTAAGAAGACCTCAACCAAACAATCTTGCCGTATGGGGTTCTTGATTCCCTTTCAATCCCATCGAGTCCTACTGAAAACCCTACTTCAAAGATACCCGGGCCCTTTGTATTCAGATGATCCTGCTCTTCGTTATTCGTCGGCGCACTCAAGATGAGCCGCGGTTTCTGCGCGCTCGACGTGCCCGATTGCACTTCCAACGTCCAGGCATATTCCGACTTCGCGGCGTTTGATCGTGGAGGCTCCCCAACGACCGACGTGAGCTTCGCAGAGACACTCTCGAGCGATCCCGGTTCCGCCAACAGACGAACATACCCCACACCCCGTACGCCCGAAGGATGGATCGCGTTCGACGGCGGCTCGACAGGGACCTGTAGCGATCACGCACACCTCGCCCGGTCAGCACTCCCACATTCGACAAGACACTGTGGCCTTGTTTGACTCGGAAACGCACCCTCCATTCCCGAGGTGTCACGTCCCCACAAAAGAACGGGGCTGTTCCCCGGAGCCGATCATCCTCTGTGCCACTGATGACCCACTTGAGGACCCGCCCGTCCGTGCGCGTACGACCGCCGGGCGTTTCGGGAGCGTAGCGGATCCCGCTATGATCTTGCGCCGCGCGTGCGTTGATGATACGCGAGATCGATGTGGTGGAAGAGCCGAGGAAGGCAAAGTCGATCCATCCGGGGTGTTTGTGGGCCCAGGGAATGGAATCGCGTTGTTGACGATCGGGCGAGCCGGGCGGGTAATGCGAGGCAGGGTGGGTGAAGGAGATGAGTTCGAGGTAGGCACCGTCACCGAGAATCTGTGCAGATTGGGGCAGATGATCAGTACTGGTGGGGGCTGTTATTATGTGGAAATGTAGTCTTACCACGAGGGCGTTCGCCGTGAAACCCCCCGCGTGAGCTCCACCAGCGATGACGCTGCAAGGAGTGTTGAAGTCATTTCACGGAGACATTCGAGAGGGAACGCGCGAACTTGAAACCCAAATCCCTGAACTGTTGGGATACCTGCTCGACCGTTCCAGGTGGTGTCAAATGGACGATGTGGTCCAATGTCTTTGTGGATGAGATGGACATGGTGAACGTTATTTACTCGGTCGAGTTCTAAGTATTCATGGTATAAATACACGAATGTAACTGCTCATTGTCTCCGATGAAATTCTGCGTAAGATTACTTACGTAATGAAACAAGTGTCATTCCTCGTGTCCGAAATTGTCCATCCAAAAGGTACCAGAGTTCTTCAAAAGATAAATCACCAAAAATAGAGCCTCATGCGAGGTCGGCAAACCCGACTTGTAGTCCACCGACGTCGAAAACGGTGTAGACGTTTCGCATAAACACGTCACCCAGAATCCACATGTCTAGTCGACAACCATCAGAAAATACACCAATTACGAATCACTGACATACTTCCAAGGCTTCCTGTGGCTACTATGGCGCCCATACAGCTATCACCGCTGGAGTTGTACGATCCAAGATTGAAGGTCTCGGCGGAGATGGCAAAAGGCTTCCCTTGGATTGTGATACTGACATTGGGCATGGCATTGCAAGGCACTGAAAAAAGAGGTTAAGAAAAGCAAGGCTCAGGGTATGGGGACTTTCTCGTGTAATATCCGCCTCCTACGTCCGTGGCATTGATGGCACTGTAGAACTGGCCCACGATTTCCGCGTCTCCGAGGATCAGCGTCGTTCCCGTGTCCACGATTGCGGAAACGTTCGTGCTGATTGCTTGGCCGTTGGCATTGATAGAATCTACATTGATTTGCCAGAATCCCTGACCTCACATGTCAACGCTCAACATGGGGTAGTATAGACAAGCTCTGACCTGATAAGTGACGGGTGTGTAGGTAAACGGGCCTGTGTACAACGACGCGTCGACACCACCGATGAGCAACTCAGATCCCGATGAGGCCAAATTGAAAGCAAAAACGGGATCGGAAATCTGTCCCTCGGCAATGAGCGTCTGAACAACCGGATTGGCTTGAAACACGGAAAGACTTTCAAACGCCATGCCCATTAAGCCATCTGGAGCAAAGTTTGCGATTTGGAAATCAGTGGAATATTGTGAAGCTGCCCCGATGGTTTGGTTTGCAGCCTATGATATCGTCAGAGATCTCAAGTACGTAGCATCCAAGTGACTTACCACAAAACCTGCAATGGTGACCGTATCTGCGTAAAGTTCGCCGGAAACCGTGGAACCATCGCCGTATGAAAGCATAAAGCGTCGATTCAGGTCGACAGCCGAGGTGCTCGCGTTTGGGTTGTAAAGCGTGTGTCCGTCACACGTCGAGTTACAGTTTGACGCAGGAAGGAACAAGTCCGCGGACCCAGTGTCAAAATCCACTGCATGATGGTGAATGAGGTATTGTGCCACGACATGGACGAGTGGCTCACCCTTGTAATCGACAGCAGGCGATCCTACAGAAATCGTGCCGTACCATCTTTGGTTCCCGTCATCCGTGAGCGAATCAGCACCCCCATCGCGTCGAGTGAGAGTATGGCTACTTGAAGATGGTTGGAGTACACCTGTGCGATGTTCCAATGCGGTAACCCCTCGCAGATACTTTCTGGGTGTCACAGATAAAAAGGGAGGGCGTACAGTAGGTTATCGAACGTGGCCTACCGTTCTGAGTACGCAAGATGAGACCGCATGGCGTCTAGGTCGACTACCCCATCTCTTGCTGGAGTCAACCTCTTCTGAATCGGTATCCTCAGCCTAGGGCGACGGTGTGGCAACGCAGCTGTCATGGCCAGCAAGACAGCAATAAAAACGATAGATAGTGAACGCATCTGTGAAGGAATGACGAGGAAGGTCTGTGCAGTTGTCGCGCCGTATGCCTTGCCTCAAGATCTTGTACCCGTCATAAAACCATCATTATCGCATGGCAACCAGGCGGTGAGCCATGCCACTTTGCGCAGCGTTGCCACGAGGTCCGTGCGAGGTCATCTCGTCGACTCACCACTGACGCTCGGGACGGTCTCAACAACTGGACATTGGTGCAAAGTGACACATGAGCCTAGCATAGAGCCTGAAACAATGGTGAGGTCAAGCGAAGTAATCGCCTTTTACGACGTGGCGCACGTTAAACTGAAACGCAACGGTTGATTCGGAGTCCGGACCGGCCCCTCGGGTATTCAGATCGCCGATGCCTCTTAACAAGGCGCCCACCACGCTGCACTCCTCGTGCGACGTGCGTCCTGCTGGAAGCTCAACTTGCGAAAGTGCCATGTCTGCCTCGGGTGAGCCTGCCACACATCTACTCTGTATATTCATTGCGATGACATGCCCCGGGTACAGACTTTTCTCTGCAATCCTTGTTCAACGTCCGCGGGAAAATAGGTACATACTGATCCGTGTCTCCACGCGCCAGCGTTCATCGTGCTTACGGCCTGGACTCCCCGTAGCGCTCGTTACCGGTGGTGGAACAGGTATCGGTAAGACGATTGCCTCCGCTCTCGTTCAAAACGGCGCCAGAGTGTACATCGCAGCGAGAAAGGAAGCGTTGCTGAAAGAGGTGCGCAGCGCCTGCGGCAGTTGTCAAGGACCTTCATGACATGTCTTTTCTAGACAGTCGCAGAACTCAATGCGCTCGGACCCGGTAGTGCGCACTATATCGTCGCCAACCTCAGCGTGAGTAATCCGGCACAGGCAGATTTTGGTGCTGACGGCATCGTCGTGTGTAGAACAAGGCCGGCGTGGATGCGTTGATTTTAGCCCTCTCCGAGCTCGAACAAGCCAAGACCCTGCACATCCTCGTGAACAACTCTGGCGTATCATGGGGATCTCCTTTCGAATCCGTCCCCGAGGACAAGGGCTGGGATAACATCATGGCTGTGAACGTGAAGAGTCTCTTCTACCGTGAGTCCCCACTCTCTCACTTGGCCGCACCGTTTCTTATTCTGGTTTGTGGTGCCCAGTAACTGCGGGGTAAGTTCCTACATCTAGGTCATAGATCTGGTCCCGATTGAGATATCGTGTACTGGAGGTTATCATCATGGCTTGCCAAAGAAGCCACTGCTGCAGATCCCGCCCACGTCGTCAACATTTCATCGACTGCGAGTGTCACTCCACACGCCGAAGGTATAGTGAGCGCTGACGGCAGCGGAACTTATAGCTGTCAGTCCTCATGTATCAATTCTACATTTCCCCTCTCACGTATCCTTTTTTCCAGACAACGTTAGCAAGGCGGCTGTGAATCATCTTACTTCGATGTTGGCAGTAAAGTTGGGTCCTCGGAAGATCATGTATGTGGCGTACTGTTATTTTTGCTTCTGATCCTTACTTCCGACTGAAACAGGGTGAATGCGATTTGCCCTGGGTACGTTTAATGCGGCCTGGATCTTGGAGATATCTGAAATTGTACACAGAATTTTTCCCACCAAGATGACAGCATTCGGTTTTAAGTCCGCGGGAGAAGACAAGATTGCATCCCTGCAACCAACTGGTATGTCTAAGCTGAACGGGTAGTTCCAATGAATCATGTGGGTCTCTAGGACGGTTTGGCCACCCCTCGGACCTCGCCGGCATTGTACTATTTCTCTGCTCTCCTGCCAGTGCACATGTCACTGGTGCACACATTTTGCTGGATGGAGGTGCAATACTCTCAAGTCAGGGTATTGCGCCGAAGGTGAAACTGTAGGAACAGGTACTATATCCTTACGTGTACCGGAAATCCCAAGCTCAAGTTTGGGTGTAGCCACATACAATTTCTGTATTTCCTAACATCCAGGATGTGACAATGCCATTGTTCAATACAAGAGTATCTTCCAGAAACACGTACATCGAACAGAGAACAATGAGAAAGAGGAAACACGAAGGATGCTTCAAGGCTGGG